AAAAGTAACGGCGAGAAGCAAATACAAGTTTATATATTAATTTCGTGATGTTCAGACTGACTTTTTTTTGGGCAGTTTCGGAAATAATTTAGTTTTTGTTTGTGTGGCCAAACAATGTGTGAGGCCGGTGCTTGTGAGGTGTGTGAGGCCGGAGCTTGTGAGGTGTGTGAGGCCGGAGCTTGTGAGGTGTGTGAGGCCGGTGCTTGTGAGGTGTGTGAGGCCGGAGCTTGTGAGGTGTGTGAGGCCGGAGCTTGTGAGGTGTGTGAGGCCGGAGCTTGTGAGGTGTGTGAGGCGGAGCTTGTGAGTGTGTGAGGCGGGTGCTTGTGAGGTGTGTGAGGCCGGAGCTTGTGAGGTGTGTGAGGCGGTGCTTGTGAGGTGTGTGAGGCCAGAGGCTTGTGAGGTGTGTGAGGCGGAGCTTGTGAGGTGTGTGAGGCCGGAGGCTGTGGTGAGTGTGTGAGGCCGGAGCTTGTGAGGTGTTGTGAGGCGGAGCTTGTGAGGTGGTGAGCAGGTGCTGTGAGGTGTGTGAGGCGAGCTTGTGAGGTGTGTGAGGCGGTGCTTGTGAGGTGTGTGAGGCCGGAGCTTGTGAGGTGTGTGAGGCCGGTGCTTGTGAGGTGTGTGAGGCCGGTGCTTGTGAGGTGTGTGAGGCCGGTGCTTGTGAGGTGGTGAGAGGGGAGGGTGTTGGGGGGGAGGGTTGTGAGGTGTGTGAGGCCGGTGCTTGTGGGTGTGTGAGCGGGCTTGTGAGGTGTGTGGGTGCTTGTGAGGTTGTGAGGCGGTGTTGTGAGGTGTGTGAGGCCGGATGCTTGTGAGGTGTGTGAGGCCGGGTTGGAGGTGTGTGAGGCCGGAGCTTGTGAGGTTGTGGCCGGTGCTTGTGAGTGTGTGGCGGTGCTTGTGAGGTGTGTGAGGCCGGTGCTTGTGAGGTGTGTGAGGCGGAGCTTGGAGGTGTGTGAGGCCAGAGATTGTAGGTGCTTGGAGGTAGTGTGAGGTGTGAGGCCGGTGCTTGTGAGGTGTGTGAGGCGGAGCTTGTGAGGTGTGTTGAGGCCGGAGCTTGTGAGGTGTGTGAGGCCGGGCGTTGTGAGGTGTGTGAGGCGGTCTTGTGAGGTTGGTGAGGCGGTGCTTGTGAGGTGTGTGAGGCCGGTGCTTGTGAGGTGTGTGAGGCCGGAGCTTGTGAGGTGTGTGAGGCCAGAGCTTGTGAGGTGTGTGAGGCCGGAGCTTGTGAGGTGTTGAGGTGTGGGCCGGTGCTTGTGAGGTGTGTGAGGCCGGTGCTTGTGAGGTGTGTGGAGGCGGTGCTTGTGAGGTGTGTGAGGCCGGGCTTGTGAGGTGTGTGAGGCCGGAGCTTGTGAGGTGTGTGAGGCCGAGCTTGTGAGGTGTGTGAGGCCGGAGCTTGTGAGGTGTGTGAGGCGGCTTGTGGTGTGTGAGGCCGGAGCTTGTGAGGTGTGTGAGGCCGGTAGCTTGTGAGGTGTGTGGGCAGGTGCTTGTGAGGTGTGTGAGGCCGGGCTTGTGAGGTGTGTGAGGCCGGTGCTTGTGAGGTGTGTGAGGCCAGGAGCTTGTGGAGGTGTGTGAGCAGGAGCTTGTGAGGTGTGTGTGGCACGGTGCTTGTGAGTGTGTGTGAGGCCGGAGCTTGTGAGGTGTGTAGCAGGTAGCTTGTGAGGTGTGTGAGCGGCACCGGCAGCTTGTGAGGTGTTTGAGGCCGGTGCTTGTGAGGTGTGTGAGACAGGAGCTTGTGAGGTGTGTGAGCGGAGCTTGTGAGTGTGTGAAGAGCGTGATGATGGTGAGACAGGAGCTTGTGAGGTGTGTGAGGGCTTGTGAGTGTGTGAGCGGAGCTGTGAGGTGTGTGAGCAGGTCTTGTGAGTGTGTGAGCGGAGCTTGTGAGGTGTGTGAGGCCGGAGCTTGTGAGGTGTGTGAGACGGAGTTGTGAGGTGTGTGAGGCAGGAGCTTGTGAGGTTGTGTGAGCAGGAGCTTGTGAGGTGTGTGAGACAGGAGCTTGTGAGGGTGGTGAGACGGAGCTTGTGAGGTGTGTGAGACGAAGCTTGTGAGGTGTGTGAGGCAGGAGCTTATGAGGTGTGTGAGGCAGGCGCTTGTGAGGTGTGTGAGTTAGGAGTTTATGAGTGTGTGAGGCAGGCGCTTGTGAGGTGTGTGAGGCAGGAGCTTGTGAGGTGTGTGAGACAGGAGCTTGTGAGGTATGTGAGGCAGGAGCTTGTGAGGTGAGACAGGAGCTTGTGAGGTGTGTGAGGCAGGAGCTTGTGAGGTGTGTGAGACAGGAGCTTGTGAGGTATGTGAGGCAGGAGCTTGTGAGGTGAGACAGGAGCTTGTGAGGTGTGTGAGGCAGGAGCTTGTGAGGTGTGTGAGACAGGAGCTTGTGAGGTATGTGAGGCAGGAGCTTGTGAGGTGAGACAGGAGCTTGTGAGGTACACTACACAAATAACCCGCACATAAAAGAGAGAAGCTTACGACGACGTTTCGGTCCGACTTGGACCATTGACAAAGTCACACTAACAGAGGTGGAGCTGGACGGCTATATATAGGCAGGAAGAGGTGGAGGTAGTAGTAGTAGTAGTAGTAGTAGTAGTAGTAGTACAAGAATTGTATATAATACCGACAAGATGAAATTAAGACACATGTACAACACCCGGGCATCCCTATCTTTTTGTTATTTATGCTTGTGAGGTATGTGAGACAGGAGCTTGTGAGGTGTGTGAGCCAGGCGCTTGTGAGGTGGGTGAGGCAGGAGCTTATGAGGTGTGTGAGACAGGAGCTTGTGAGGTGTGTGAGGCAGGCGGTTGTGAAATGTGTAAGCCAGGCGCTTGTGAGGTGTGTGAGGCAGAAGCTTGTGAGGTGTGAGGCAGACGCTTGTGAGGTGTGTGAGGCACGCACTTGTGAGGCATGTGAGGCAGGCGCTTGTGAGGTGTGTGACGCAGGCGGTTGTGAGGCGTGTGAGGCACGCACTTGTGAAGTATGTGAGACAGGCGCTTGTGAGGTGTGTGAGGCAGGCACTTGTGAGGAGGTGTGTGAGCCAGGCGCTTGTGAGGTATGTGAGGCAGGCGCTTGTGAGGTGTCTGAGGCAGGCGGTTGTGAGGTGTGTGAGGCAGGCGCTTGTGAGGTGTGTGAGCCAGGCACTTGTGAGGAGGTGTGTGAGGCGGGCACTTGTGAAGAGGTGTGTGAGCCAGGCACTTGTGAGGGGGTGTGTGAGCCAGGCACTTGTCTACCTGGAGGGTATTCCGGGGATCAACGCCCCAGCGGCCCGGTCCATGACCAGGCCTCCTGGATCAGGGTCAGCAGTACCAGCCTCGTTGAGGAGGGCCTGATCAACGCGGCTGTTACTGCTGGTCGCAGGTAGTCCAACGTACGAACCACAGCCCGGCTGATCCAGCACTGACTTTAAGTATCTCTCCAAATGTCTCTTGAAGACAACTAGGGGTCTATTGGTAATTTCCATTATGGCTGGTGGGAGGCTGCTGAACAGTCTTGAGCTCCAGACACTTATTGTGTTTTCTCTTAGTGTACTAATGACACCCCTACTTTTCACTGGGGGTATGTTGCATCGCCAGCCAAGTTTTATGCTTTCGTAGGGAGTGATTTCTGTGTGCAGATTAGGGAATAGTCTCTCCAGGATCTTCCAGGTGTAGATTATGATGTATCTCTCTCGCCTGCGCTTCAGTGAGTACAAGTCAAGTGCTTCCAAGCGTTTGCAGTAGTTAGGTGTTTGGTGGAACTTATATGTGCAGTGAAGGTTCTCTGTACATTCTCTAGATCTACAATTTCACCTGCTTTGAATGGTGATGTTAATGTACAGCAGTATTCCAGCCTATAGGGAACAAGTGATTTAAAAAGGATCATCACTGGCTTGGCATCTCTTGTCTTGAATGTTCTCATTATCCATCCCATCAGTTTCCTCCCAGATGTGACAGTGGCATTGTTGTGATCCTTGAAAGTGTGATCCTCAGACATTATACTCCCAGGTCCTTTAGATTACTTTTCCGCTCCGCTTGTGAGGACTTGTGAGCAGATTGTGGGTTGTGAACCAGCACTTGTGAGGAGTGTGTGAGCCAGGCACTTGTGACGAGGTGTGTGAGCCAGGCACTTGTGACGAGGTGTGTGAGCCAGGCACTTGTGACGAGGTGTGTGAGCCAGGCACTTGTGACGAGGTGTGTGAGCCAGGCACTTGTGAGAGTGTGTGAGCGACTTGTGACGAGGTGTGTGAGCCAGGCACTTGTGACGAGGTGTGTGAGCCAGGCATTTGTGACGAGGTGTGTGAGGAATGTCTTAATGTCAGGAATAACTCTCTGCATTATATACATTCACACATACATGCACATGTGACGTACTAATCTTCCTTGACTCATTGTCACTCGTACCACCACCTCCACACCTGCTGTCCAACACTCTGCATTTTAATACCTTGATAGGTCTTTATAATATGTACATAACAATGGCATACAACATAAGATGCTAAAACAAAGAGTTCGTGCCTCACCTGTTTTGTGATTTACCGGGAATTATTACTAGGCCGATCATTTATTTCAATAAACAACTCGTGTACTGGAAAAAAAAAAGCCACACGAGATAAACCACGGAACGGGTGGGATTTGAACCCATGGAGAGTGTTTCGTAAAACTGCAGGCCAGTGTGTAAACCACTGCGCCTGGGGTTTTACGACTCACTCGCCATTGATTCAAACCCCATCCGTTCCGTGGTTTGTTTGCATTCGTATGATTACGATTTCGCGAGTCATATGAGACAAATCTCCATTACCCCATAGATACGAACAAAGTAACCCCACAGGGGGTAACTGACCCAGGTTAGGGACCCCTGGAATGGTCTCAACTGTGAAGAATTTTAGGGCACCATTTTTATTTATTCATATAATCTTTCAATGAAGAGGTGCCTTGAAGCTGGGAAAGGGTTCTTGATTTTGGGTTATTCTTCCCTGGATCAAATATAACTGTCTCCCGGGCACTGTATGGTCATTACGGATTTGGCGCAACTCCTTGAATGTAATAGTAATGGGTCCTTACAGCATGGAGAGTGCTGCCACCCAGTCCACACTCTTCCCTGACGGGAGTGCTGCTGCTGCTGCTGCTGCTGCTGAGGAACACTTCCTTAACCTCCCGCCTGAGGGACATAAATGCCTTGAGGATTTTTGGAACAGCTTGCCCCTAGATGGTGAGTGTAAAGACTTCATCATTTATGATAATATTTCTGTTTATATATTATATATATAATATATATATATATATATATTATATATATATATATATATATATATTATATAGTATATATATAATATTATATATATATATATATATGTATATATATATATATATATATATATATATATATATATATATATAATATATATATATATATATATATATATATATATATATATATATATATATATATATATATATATATATATATATATATATTAATATAATATTATATATATACAAACACTGATCTCTGCCTGAAGGAGACTCGAACCTACGAACCTTGGAACAAGGTACGCAGTGCATTACCTTCTCAGTTTTGTGTATATTTCGACTGCTCTTGCGAATTCCTTGCATTGTTAAAATCTCTAGTAAGGCTGATGCATGCAGGGGATGAGATGGAAAGCTGTAAGCCTTCTCCCTAAAAGCTGGCTGCATTGGATCAACGTCTAGCACAAGCTGGACGCTAAGGTATTGGTCCAGTGTGGTGAGAATGGCAATGCACTGCGTACCTTGTTCCAAGGTTCGTAGGTTCGAGTCTCCTTCAGCCAGAGATCAGTGTTTGTGTATATTTCACCTGCTCTTGCGAATTCCTTGTGTGTGTGTGTGTGATATATATATATATATATATATATATATATATATATATATATATATATATATATATATATATATGAATGCTGCTTTTTAAAAATGCAAGTCACATGTTTGTTCTCAAATTTATAATAGTCATGTAAAAATGCTAGAAACTGCAGTGATGCTGATAATGTTGTATTATTGGTTAAAGGTACCAATGTGATGCAGTCTCATAATATGACAGGAGTGGAAGCAAGTGGTATTTATGATATGATGTGCTGCTGAAGTGTGACCAAGGCAATATTTATAAAGGGATTCAGGGAAATCGGTTAGCCGGACTTGAGTCCTGGAAGTGGGAAGTACAATGCCATCTGAACCGTGATGTCAGCGTAAGTTTGGCAGGACAGTGATTGAATGAATGACGGTGAAAGTGTGTCCTCTTTCTTCGGGGGGTCACCTTACCTCGGTGGGAGACGGCCAGTGTGTTAAAAAAATAATTTTATTATTTAAAAATAAAATATATTACAAAATTTTTGCGTTGCCTGCAGCTTCACGACACAATAACATTTTCTCTAGTATAAAACTCTGGAGGTTAAAGAGAGTGCGTCATGACCCGAGCTGCGGGTGTCCTCTCCAACGACCCAGCATTCACATTTCAACGCCTTCCATGAACGTACCACCGACTTGACTCGTCTACATAAACACACACACACGGGGCTAGCGGTTGTTCCTGAATATAATAATACTCTGCCCTCGCCATCTGTAGGACCCATTCGGTTTTAACGCCTTATTATAACTATAATCTCCTCACCAACCGGATATTTACGTGCACAGGTCTGTCGCAAGATATCTAAGCGAGTACACACAATCTTTTTCAACTCTTCAATATCTAGTACGTTTTGATCACATCTCCCATGCGTTTTCTTTGGTTAGAAAGTGTTGTTCGTTTAGCCTTGTCTCGTAAATCATGACCTTAGTTTTGGGTCCAGTCTAAGGCAAATCGTTCAACTTTCTCGATCTGTAAATGCTGCATTAGGCAAGAGCTCTGGTGTCGTGTACTAGATATCTGATTCTAGAATGTGTGGTGACTCCTTGACAGCCATGAGTTCGTGAACAAGTGTTGCTCCTTCCTTGTGTGTGTGTGACCTTGTTATGACGTGTTTGCCTTGTTATGTACTATCTGGCTGGGAATATTGGATCTGTTATTGTGTCTTTTTATTTTATGTCAAGTACTGCATTTACTCTCTGTCAGGTGCTACATGACTTAAATACTATAAAATATGCGATAAACATGATCATGTGTATGAGGCTAGGGAGCCATTGCACCAGTCAACTATTGGTTAAAAAGCGTGTCCTAGGAGCTATAGCTTGTTCTCACACACAAATACAGTAGCAAGCTAATACAAAAGTGATTGAAGAATCTTCAGTGTTTGAGGCATCTTCCAGCACGGAAGATAACACCGTCCCTCCCACCCTCTCTGAAACAGTTATTTTCTCCTTCGATTTAGTCAATACTTGTCATCTTTACTCTCGACTTCTGCTGGAGTTATCGTGCTGCTATCATCCCTGGCTGTTACCTGTGCTCGTAGAGGCTGCACTTCACCTCCAAACTGCTTATGAAGATTGTATCAGTCTCTTTTAGCCTTCATAATGCTGCCTGCTGGTTGAGGCGGATTTTTGAAGGCGAGGAAACACATGGAGGAAGAGGAAGAGGGGATGAGAAGGGAGAAGTGAAGCAAGGAAGAGGAAGAAGGGAGAGGGTACATGGGAAAGGCTGACAGGCGGTGAAGAAGAGGAAAGCAAAGAAAGAAAAGAAGAACATGGGAACTAATATGACGTTGAAGATACCAAAATATTGTCAAAGCAATTTACAGACGCTAACATTAGCTTGAATTATTAAAAAAAAAAGTGCAAATAACTTATAACAAACAAGCCAGTTCAAGATTGTCTTCAGGGCTCTGGTGGCCTGGTGGTTAACGCTCTCGCTTCACACGGTGAGGGCCTGGGTTCGATTCCCAGCCAGAGTAGAAACATTGGACGTGTTTCTTTCCACCTGTTGTCTATGTTCCCCATCAGTAAAATGGGTACCTGGGTGTTAGTCGACTGGTGTGGGTCGCATCCTGGGACACTGACCTAAGGAGACCTGGTCACAGACCGGGCCGCGGGGGCGTTGACCCCCGGAACTCTCTCCAGGTAAACTCCAGGTAATACCGCTACATAATATTCGTACTGTATGACCCGAGTGGGTTTAGCGTAATATTCGTAATAGTTAAAAACACTGTCAACACAGTCGACACTGTAGCAATCAACACTAAACCTCGTAGCAAAGTTGATGAAGCTGTGTACTTTACAGCCTGTAAACAATGTCCGGAAAATCATGTGCGGGTGAAATAAGCTTCAGTAACCGAGCGTGTGGGAACAATGCGAGAATGTTAAGAGGTGTGTCAGTACTGTTTACATTGTCAGCCAGTCAGGAGCGAGTATTAAGGGGCGTGTCAACATTGTTTACACCCCCGCCTTAATACACGCTCCTGATTATCTAACACTGTTGACACCCCCATCCCCTTAGAAGAGGCTACCGAAGATGTGTTGCCTTCTTTCGTCTCCTCGACTCTGACGCAACATCAATTTCAACAATTGGAAATCGCCGTTTAATTTGATAACTATATAGAAGCAAATTAGTATAAACACATTCCTGCCCAAATCAGTGGTAATCTCTGCAAAACGCTTGACAAATAAGTTGCTGCCTTCTTCTGTACTAACTTTGTCTTCCTAGTGAAACCCAATAACGCAAATATATAACTTTTTTCATTCTTTTTTATATATGTATATATATATATATATATATATATATATATATATATATATATATAATAACCACTGTGAAAGAATAGTGAAATTCCAAGCGCATTCGTGACTTCTCACATGTGAGAAGTCCACGAAGGCGCTTGGAATTTCACTATTCTTTCAGAGTGGTTGCTTTGCATATTCTGATATCACCTGTTGACTGTGATCTTATTGCATATATAATAATAATAATAATAATAATAATAATAATAATAATAATAATAATAAAATAGTAATAATAATAATAATAATAAACATACAGACTACTTGGTGCAATAATCGTGGACAAGCGATAAAAGATGCAAAGCAATCACAAGGGAAGTTAAATGATAGATATCATTTAACTTTTCCCTGTGGTTGTTTTTTAAGCATATTACATGTGCAGGAGTGTACTGTAACGCCACTTGGGACTCGCTGTACTGCTGGCCGGCGACACAGGCTGGGAGCACTGTGAACGAGTCTTGTGCTACCGTCTTCAGTGACGTGCCTGACCTCTTACACTACCCTGATGGTGAGTCCCTAGCTGCCTCCTCCACTACTATACTGCCCCCACTACTATACTGCCCCCACTACTATACTGCCTTCACTACTATACTGCCTTCACTGCTATACTGCCTTCTCCACTACTATACTGCCTCCACTACTATACTGCCTGCACTACTATTCTGCCTTCTCCACTAATATACTGCCCCCACTATTATAATACTACCTTCGCTACTATACTGCCTTTTCCGCTACTATACTGCCTCCACTACTATACTGCCCCCACTACTATACTGCCTTCTCCACCTCTGTACTGCCTCCTCCACAACTGCACTGCCTCTTCCACAACTACACTGCCTCCACCCCTATATTGCCTCCTCCATCACTGCACTACCTTCTCCATTTTATTTTTGTATCCTCTTTCTTCTTCCTTCCCCTCTCCATTTCTTCTACTCTTTATTGTACCATTACCAAGATACCGTCACTGCGTGACATCGTCTCTGAAAGATTTAAGAGTACGGGCACTAAGTCTTGAAGAAATAGTTTACTGGCGACAAGTGTGAAGACTCCAACACAGGTTGCAGTGTTTACTGGAACAGCTCTTCTCTCCGTGTAGAGCTTTAACAAGTCATTCATAGGTTACAGTTAATACAAATTCTCCTTAAGGTGAGGCGGAAGCAGAAGAGGCGAGACCTCTCAACGGATGATGGTCACCTGAGCCGAAATCATTACATGTGAACATCAAAGGTCGAAGGTTACCGTGTCTGTGGCGAGAGTAGAGGGCAGTGCAGCAGGTCTGCTGGTCAACACCAGATCTGGAATGAAGATTTTGACACGTACAAAATCTAAGTATCTTTATTTGTAGACGTTTTGCCATCCAGTGGCTTTACCAGTGCAGTTCAAGAATGTGAAGCCTGTAGAACTATGTACAGAAGATGAGCTATATCAGTCCATCAGCGAAGTCTTGAAGACTTCGGTGCTGTTCACCAACTCTAAGGCCGAGGGACTGATTACTTCATCTCTTGTATCTAGTTCTACAGTCTTCACATTATGTTCTTAAATTGTATTGATAAAGCCACTGGATGGCGAAACGTCTACAAATGAAGATACCCAAATGTTGTATATGTGTCTAAATCTTTATCTTGTCGTCATTGTATACCATTCATGTACAGATCTGGAATATTGTCTAATCGCGAGTCTGTTCTTCTCCTTTAATATAATGTGTCCTTGAGGTTAGCTAACATCATATGACTGTAAATTCACCTGTGTAAATTTCTTCTATTTGTACAGGGATTACAATGTAAATGTTAAGAAAAAAGATTCACCTTTGTACCAGCACTGTACCATGAGAGTTCCGTTACAGTGTACTATTGCAATATAACATGACAGTGCAGCATGACAATGTACCGTGTACTTGCAGCGCTGGCGTACCGTGAATGCGACGTGTCAGGGTCCTGGCTGTGGGGTAACTGGACCAACTACTCCCAGTGTCTGAGCGTCATCGACCACCAGGTCAGTCTAGGTCACTACAGGTCAGATTACGCCACCACAGATCAGTCTAGGTCACTAATGCTCATTGTAATGCGCTACAGGCCATTAAAAGCCACTCCAGGCCATTATAAGTCAAACCATACCACGGGCGGGATTGAACCCGCGGTCAGAGAGTCTCAAAACTCCAGACCGTCGCGTTAGCCACTGGACCAGCTAGCCACAATAAGATTCGTCCAACTAGGTATATTTCTACATCATAGGAAGGTTAGCATAGGCACCACTGTGACCACAAATGCAAGTTTTTACAGACGAATCTCCAGCTAGCGTGGCCGTGACGAACTCTAGCTCAAGTCATGTCATTACGATTTCGTGAGTCATGTTGACGGCATTGAGGGGACTTGAGCTAGAGTTCGTCACGGCCACGCTAGCTGGAGATTCGTCTGTAAAAACTTGCATTTGTGGTCACAGTGGTGCCTATGCTAACCTTCCTATGGTGTAGAAATATACCTAGTTGGACTGTTGCAGCCGCAGCAAGCAGCAACAAGGCTGCTCCTATATTTTGCCGTCCCCTGGGCCTATCCGAACTCCAGTGATGGCCAAATTGCAAGTACTGCTGCAACAACATGCAAAAAACCTATAGTGACATAAAAACTGACGGTGACGACAACGAAATGGACTAAATATGACAATATAGGGACCGGCATTCAAGTATCAGACCTGCTGCCAGACGTGAACCAGACATGAGACGTTTTCCACTACAATGAAATAACTGACCTCCATATCAACTGCACCAGTGTTCAACGGGAAGACAACATGGCAGAAAACTTGATCAACAAAACTCCAAGGAAATGACAGGTCTGTAGGACTTTTTTCCTCAGTGCCAAACGAGGGAAAGAATTGAGCATTTAAACATGGCTGACCGGCATCCAAACAGCAGCTACTGCCAGACGTACAACTAGCGAAGTGAAATTCTCATCTTTACTGACGTTCATCTGTTGACAGTAGCATCATATCTGTACCACCATCATATCACCTGTATCAGTGCTAACGAGAGGGAAACACAGGAGACATCGTCAAATCAACAGTACAAAACTCCAAGGTTATGGGACGGTTATCCCTCAGTGCCAGTCGTGAGAAAGAAGTGAATAGGTAAACAGTCAAGGTTAATGTTTTAGTAGTTGACCTATATTCAGCTGACCAGTGTACAGCGAGAGAATCATAGCAGAAAACGCCAAATATATCTATAAACTCAAGGAAAGTCAGGTTGTAGGTGGCGTTTACTTCCCTCAGTGTTTTAAAAATGGCCGAATCAGCAGAACAGGTCAGGCAGTCAACAACACGACACAACCCCCGATAAATGGAATTGAGGGGGATTTGGAAGGATAAAACCATTGATTAAACCTTTCTGGTCAACCAGAATTGAAAGGAGTTAGAAGTTAATAGGTGAAGCCGGACTGTGAAGTGAGGTGGGAAGGGGAGTGTGTAATAAGGGGTTAACTGAAAGGGGTTTGTGAAGTTAAGGGAAAAGTGAGCAGTGAAGAGGGTTTTGAAGAAGAAAATTTACTAGTAATTCATTAGTGATTGCTAAAGCAGATACTAAGTGTACTAGGGACTGGAAAAGAGAAATAAATATTATTGTATATGAGTAAAAGAGCGAAGAGTGAAAATGGCAGGCATTAGGGGGGGTACAGGCTGCAATAATTATATTTATCTTTCTTCTTCAATTCCACGAAGAAAGAAATCAGTCATGGGGGCTGGAAAAGGTGAATGGAGTAACAGCGCCCTGGACAGTAAAAGCCAACAGTTGCCATCCTACCAGAAAAGTAAATGTCACTATCGCCGCAAGGTATGGCAACACCGCATACCCAAACAAAAACAGTGGCACACAGCTCTTATTGTAGCGCTCTTAAGTGGTGATATCCAAATTAATCCAGGACCTCAAACTATTGTGCAGAGGCAAAACAGACAGATAAATGACGGTGATAGTGACGGTCTAGTAGCTAGGAATGATAACCTTAACTCCATATGTAATGCATACATAGGTCAATATGAGACAATACAGCTATTATTATCTCAAACACTACCAAACAGGTGCATACACTGTACTAAAGTACGCATGAAAAACAGAAAAGGCACCTTATGTAAAATGTGTAAGGGGTGGGTGCATGATGGATGTATGTACAATTATAGCAACGGTGCCAGAATTCATTTTGTGTGTAACAAATGCACTTTGGCACATTTTACCCTTTAGCAGTGATGACATTGATTTACCTAATTTTAATACAAATGACCCATTGCCATATATTGATGATTATGATTGTTTTATGAAAACAGGCCTTCACTTTATTCATGTCAATGCAAGATCACTTCTTCCTAAATTGGCAGAGATTAGGATTCTAGCTAACAAAATTAGGGCGGCAGTTATAACCATCTCTGAATCCTGGTTGGATGATACGGTGACTGACGACGAGGTCAAAATAGATGGTTACAATATAAAACGCTTAGATAGGAACAGAAAGGGTGGTGGAGTATGTGTCTACATTAGAAATGACTTAGCTTACAACCCAAGACCTGATTTAAATAACAATAAACTGGAGATTCTATGGTTTGAAGTGCTGCTTCCCAAGACCAAATCCATCTTAGTAGGAACTAGTTACCGCCCTCCTACCCAGGACCAGTTCTTAGAAGACTTTTCCAGAGTCTTGTCCGGATTTGAAAAAAAAATGCGAGACAATAATACTGGGCGACTTCAATATCTGTTTTCAGCAGTAAAATAACGGGCTATGCAAAAGGTATAAGCAAATTCTAGGTTTAAATAGTTACACTCAACTAATTAATACACCAACCCGGATCACACAGTTCTCAGCCACCCTAATTGACTACATACTCTGTAACCGCTCTGAGAACATAGTCAGTCAGGCGTCATTACCACAGGTCTTCGTGATCATTTCATCATTTATTGCACCAGGAAAATCACTAGGGATAGGATAGGCCTACACAGGACAATAAAAATGAAGTCAACTAGAAACTACAGTAAAGAAACACTGGTAAATAGGCTACACAATTGTGACTGGACAGAGACAACAAGTTGCACGGACGTAAACGATGCCTGGGAAAAATTCAAAACAATGTTCACTACCATCCTTGATAATATTGCACCAGTTAAAGAGGTTAGGATTAAACGAAGAACTGAACCCTGGATGAATGCTGATATATTAGATAATATGAAATTCAGAGACAAGCTGCAAAAAAGATTTTAAGCAAGCAGACAGGATATTGCAGCACTAAATGAATTCCAAAGGGTGAGGAACAGAGTACAGAGACTTATAAAAGGAGCAAAGGCAAAGCACTATTGCTCAAAAATTGAAGAGTATAACCATAACCCCAGAAAGCTCTGGCAACAACTAAAACAGTTGGGGTACAGCCATAAGCCAGTAGATAGGTCTAACATAATACTCACTATCGATAATGAGGTATGCCACGAAACATCTAAGGTGGCAAATTGCTTTAATTCCTACTACACATCTGCTGCATCAACACTAGTAAGTAAACTACCAGCTGCATCAAATACCTTTAACACAGACTCTGACAAGTTTCAAACATACTATACCAATAAAGGGGTAACCCCAAACAGTTGTCAACTAGTAAGTGTATCTCATGACTTTATTCAGAAAGAACTAAGCAGGTTAAACCCAACTAAGAGCACAGCCCCTGATAACATCCCGTCTAAGTTCCTAAAAGATGGTGCTTCTGAACTGTCAATCCCTATTGCTCACATAATAAATCTATCAATCACCACTAATACCGTACGGAGGGGTTCAAGGAGGCCAGAGTTACTCCTATCTTCAAGAAAAATAGTAGGTCATGTCAACAACTATAGGCCTGTTAGTATACTCAGCATAATAACCAAAATTCTAGAGAGGGCGGTGTACTCTCAAGTAGTTAAGTACCTTAATGACAACATTCTCCATAACTATCAATCGGGCTTTAGAAGATCTTACTCAACCGACACCTCCCTAATTAATCTGATGGATTACATAAGAACTGAAATGTCAAAGGGGAACCTCATAGGTATGGTAACCTTAGACCTGCAAAAGGCCTTCGATACTGTCAACCACAATATATTATGTAAGAAACTTTAAGCTATCGGTATAGGTTCTGTAGACTGGTTTAAATCCTACCTTAGCAACAGGAGACAAATTGTCAAAATCAACAAAACGGAATCAGAACCCCTGCCGATAACATGTGGAGTTCCCCACGGTAGTATTCTGGGTCCCTTATTATTCTTATGTTATGTCAGTGACATGCCTATCAGTGTCAAGTGCAAACTCCTACTGTATGCAGATGACAGTGCCCTGTTAGGGTCAGGTAAAGACCCACAAGATATAGCTAATGTTTTAACTCTGGAACTGGAGTCCTGCAGCAAATGGTTAGTAGACAACAAACTATCATTACACCTCGAGAAAACTGAAGCCAATCTCTTTGGCACGAAACATAAACTGAGAAGGGTAAATAATTTTAATGTCCAGTGTAATGGGGAGCCCATCACTTAGGTTTCATCAGTAAAATATCTGGGAATCCCCTTTGACCCATGCATGTCAGGAGAATTGATAGGGAACAGTGTAGTAAAGAAAGCGAATTGCCAGACTGAAGTTCCTGTATAGACAAGCACAGTGTCTACCTACTGAGGCTCGCAGGACCCTATGTCTAGCCCTTATACAATGCCATATGGATTACGCTTGCTCTTCATGGTACTCTGCCTTGACAAAAAAACTGAAAGATAGACTGCAAATCACCCAGAACAAAATCGTAAGATTCATCCTGGAGCTGGGACCAAGAGAACATGTAGGCCATGATGAATTACAGCAGTTGGATATGCTGAATGTTGAAGACAGAGTAAAACAACTGAAGCTAAATCATGTTTATAAAATTGCTCACAGTGTCCAGAATATCTTGCTGTCAATTTTGTCAAGGTTGGGAACCAAAGCAATCATAGTACTAGGGGGAGAGAGCACAACTTT